GATCCGTGCTGGTCGCTGAGGAAATACATCAACTTAGTGCTGTGGATCGCCGGATTGGCTTTCACCGTTTTCACCGCTCCTTCGCCGGGACCGCCGTTCTCGACCCCGCCGCCTCAGCTCACTCTTGCCCGGCTTCAGCTCAGGCTAAGCCGGGGCTTTCGCTCACGCTAGGCTCTTTGGATGCTGCTGACTAAATGATTACTTATAAACACTTGAAAAAAACTAGCAGTGAAAATAAATTGTTATCTAAAACAAAAATGAAAACTTAACTGAAACCATAAAAGTGCATCACAATACAAATGACAACTTAGTTTGTGAACTTCAGTCTCATGCTTAAATATTTTTTTAATAAGACAGCATACTGCCCCAGCTTTTTGGCAAGTTTTTTTCAGGTTTGGTCACGGCATAATTTTTGCCGACTTTGCTGTAAATTCTCCAATAAATATTCAAGACCAGAAAGCAGCTCCTAGTATTCATAGCAAATAACATCAAATTTTGAGAATACAGACTGTAATTGTAAAATAATAAACCCAGCATGTATTTTACAGAGTAACATTAGATAAAGTCTGACTGGGCTGAAAGAGGAAAAACTTTCATTCTACCTAGATACAGCAATGTCACTGTGTGAGTCAAACTTTGAGTGGATAATGCAAAAGCCCTAACAGAGGGAGTAATACTTGCTTTCTTTCACTTTAGTTAAATGCTTGTCTGATGTTTGTTTGAATCTCATCTATCAAGATGGAGCTGTACACAACCGTTCTCACCCTTACCGTCGTTCTCTCAACTGATGCTATATGTAAGTTAATGATTTTTAATCACTTTAGCACTGTTTTCGTAAGTGATTAAATGAAAAAAAAAAAAAACTTCAAAATGATCACTTGCAACACTGCTAACTGTTCATTCGAAACCAATTTTAAGTCCTGAATTTTTTTTTTTAAATAGAGATCTTTAAGTTATAATAATTGACTATCATTGAGATTTAAGTGAAATAAAATTGTAATATTGTATAAAGTTATGTGTAGTAATACAATATGGTATAACATTCCCTACCTTCTACCCCATTATAAAAAAAGTAACATAACATAAACATACTAAAGTGTAATATAACATCAACATATATTAAGCTTAAAACATATATTAACTTAAAACACCCCGGTATAACACACAAACATACCTACTAGGAAGTAACAATGTTTTAAATAAGATGCATAATGAGAAATGTTATATGTAGCATCATCATATTCACAGTATGCACTTAAATTACCTAAATTGACATAAAATCGGTTATGGTTAAAAATATATCAACAATGTGTTATCAAAAGTCAATGAATACATGGCATGGCCACAATGTTCTGTCAGTTTTGACTACGCTTTTACAGTCAAAGCTAAACAATTAAACAATTTTAACGAGGGGGCAGGGGGTGGGCAAGGAACAAGGTTGAGAACCACTGTATTGCAATGTTTTTTTTTTTTTTATCAGTCTTACATATTTCTCCAACTAAGGTCAATGCTCTCGCAAAGATCACAAACATGTTTGTGGCCTCTGGGTCTACCTCCTGTATTTTTCAAGCCTCTTATTTTAGTCTGGCAAGAAAATGTTATCCACATCACATTCATTTGAGCTATGAATAGGAAAATAAATTATGTCAGTGTTGAATTGATTGCCAATTTTTACAGGCCTGTGCTTCAGTATCTCTGCAGCAATATCTCTTCTATTGCTTGGTGAAGAGTTACTTTGTCGAAGTGATTGTAGGAGAACTGTTTAAATAGATTTAGAAACAGAGAGAATGGTGGACATGCACACAACGAATAGGTGGGAACAATTAACAGACAGGACCCTGACAGTTCTCTTTCTATGAAAATGAATGAATACAAGCACATTTTGAAAGTACTTTTTTGAGAATCTCTCAAGTCATGTTTATTTACTGTAACAATGTTTATAGTTCATTTTTCACACTTCTTTTAGGGTAGGTGACAAGTAATATTTACTGCATGAACAATAAATAAATAATTGAAAATGTACAATTCACCTCAGTTGCCTATGATAATTGTTTTTGGAGATTCAGTCTTTGTTTTTAGAAATGTGTAAAATCAGTCAAGAAAGGCTATTACTTTAAACATTGTTTGGTGTGGTAAACAAGTTATTTTGTGTCTGTGTGTCCTGAAACCACCCCGTTTCAAAACAAGATTATTGTGACATGAGATCATTTTACAGTTTGCAGGGTTTTTTCATCTTTGCCACACACACA